GAAAAATTTAAAGATATATTAATCATAATTCTGGTTGTCTTCTTACTGTCCGGGTACATCTCCTAATTACATAATAAAGTATTCAATAATATACTTTATACAAGTATACGAAAGGTGATCAAATCAAAGTCAAGCGCTGAGGTAAACTTCACCGAGTTCGCACCGCCCAAGTAACAGTGAGCACCGCACAAGACTGTGGTTTCAAGATCCCCACTCATCCAGCCTATTCTCAAATCTGTCGTCAGGGGCCGCAGATTTCTAGTGGATGATGAGGGCATAACTTTTAGGGAGGAGTTTTTAGAGTCACTTCACAACAGTGATTTTCTGACGGGTTAAACATACATTATGCAAGAGCTAAATCTGCCAATTCTTTAGGCCTGAAATCTTATCTAAATTATTAATTAGACATTAATTAACTTATCGAGACCATAATCAACCCTCAATGGCATCGCTAGCCTGCGATTTTAATGGATCAGAACCCGGTCTGCTGATCTGATTAAATCAGAAAATGGATAATCGAGACTATGTTTTTTTTATTGTACCGACTTTAGTAATGATCGAGCGTACACCCAAAATTCAGTCGCTAAATACTCGGTTCAGGGTGGATCAATTTGACCGAAATTTTCAGCAATTATTTCCTTTACATTATCGAATTTTAACTATTATAGTGAGAACTGCCAGCTCATTATCTAATCTCCCATAATGTATCTTTAAATATTATGTTGAAAAAAAACCCGCCGGAACAAGTGCATTGATACCAAGGATGATTGTGTTATAAGAAAAATCGTATTACTTAGGGAGGCGGGGATGTTTGGTACACTTCTCGTATGAATCATCTATTTGCTTGTGTTACAGCCTTTGATATCACAAGACGAGAAAATTAGCCTTTGAAGCGAAGTACTGGATTGTAACATAATTATGATGTTAATTACTATAAATCAATAAACAGATCATTAATCAATAGGTCTACATTTGTACCATGTCTCAATGATTTCATGATTTCATGTCAAGTTAAAGGAGCTAAATCTTTAACTCAATATTATCCATTCGAACTTAAAAACACGAATTGGAATTCATTATCGGTCGGTTTCAATTGATATTAATGTTGTTATTTTGCCGTGAAAATATGGGATCCTAATATCCAATATTTAAGACACAATGAACATTTTTATAATCAGTACAGGAGTCGTGTAGTTTATCTTTTTCGCGAACCATTTGTAATGAACAAAGAAAAACATATTCTACAAGACAATACGGAAACAATTAGTAACGGCTGATTCACAAACGACAAAATAACAATAAAAATGATAGGTTGCCAGGCAACGAAACATACGCCCACAACAGCTAAGTCGTCCAACAGTCCATAAAGGTTGTCACATTGTATGTCGTTTTAGTAATGGGAGCATTTACGACACTAACAAACTTAGACAAGATTTTTTTTACAATCAACATCAAGGAGATCATCAAGTTGATGTTGATCTAAAGAAGCATCCCTAATGTTAGTAGTAGATCTAAAATGAGTGAGGGTGTGAAGTGTGTTTTGGGTTATTTGTTAACCGCTTTAATATATAATTTGATTATTGTCTTGAATATCACGTTGAAACGAACTAATTCATATTGGGGTGTGTGCGTGTTGGTGTGCGTGTTGGGGTGGGCAATTTATAAACTAATGAAAACATATTTGCAAGTTATTGGGGTGACTGAAGCCCTGATATCTGTAATGTACGGGATATGTTTATCATCGCATTTCCATAAACAGCATGCATAATTTTCAAGTTAATCAAGATTTTTCAAAGTGATCAAACCCATAACTCAGGCAGTAATTATTCATCTCATTACCATAAACAATATGTATAAATTTAAAATCAACCGGGTGATAACTTTAACCTGTAGAGCGTACACAAGATTTTTCAAAATGATCAAGGGCCATAAATCAGGCAGTGGTTATCGGAAATCGCTCAAAATCGAGAAGCTTCGTCGTCTCATGGCCATAAACACTACGCATAAAATTAAAGTCAATCGGATGATAACTTTAGCCTCTACGAGCGTCCACATGGAATTGTGGACATCGGACGGACAATAATAAACGACCACTAAAAACTGTCGTTCAATTTGGACTGTTCGCGTATTTGTCATAATATAATTTATTAGAAATTATCTATTATGTATACATTATATACATTCATATTACATTAATATGTGCTTTTCGTCTATTCTAAGGTTACAAAGAATAGAGCCCTACAACCTTTAACATTATTGAACTGAATAAATAGTTTATTGTATAGTTTGAATGTTTGTTACAGACAAACCAATTAATGCATGAAAGGCGTCTCTTATATAATATCTACATTCTTTGTTGAGTAAACAAAGTTTTATATAATATGAACTATGATACAGATGTAGGTACAACATTCAACTGAAATGGGGGTTAACGTACTACTGCAGGGTACACCAGTACTTAGATTCAGGTCAAAGTTAGAGCTTTCAGCAGGTAGAACAAAATTGTGTAAAATTGTTTCAGTGCCATTTTTTTAAAAAATGAAATGAAATGGGGTTTAACGTCCCACTGTTCTGTATCGACTGGGCAAATGAAGATGGGCATAATGCAAGAATTTACATAGACGTCGATACTTATGGTATATGGATAGCGAATAACGAAAAACACTAGCTAAAATGGATATTCTCCGTCAAACAAGTCATGTGACAAACAAATGAAATGTGGTTGAACGACCTACTTTTCTGTACCGACAGGGCTAATAAAGACGGGCTACGAGGGAAATTTTGACCTGAGAGCGGCGCTACGACCTACTCTTAGCTCGAATTCCAACTGTGACGGTTTTATTTTATATACACACCAATGTGTACATGGGACCTCGGTTTTACGTCCTATCCGAACGATTAGACACTATCTTTGCACGCCCTCCGTCCTGCACCACTGACTAGGGAAAACCTTTCTCGGCCCATACGGGGGGGGGGGGGGTTGGATGGCTGAATGGTTAGCGTGCGCGCGGTGTATCATAAAGTCTGTCATTGAGTCGACTGGCGTGGTTTCGAATCCCCGGTTGTACGTGACAAGGAGTAGGGTGGCCTGTCCAACCTCGTTGGTTTTCTCCGGGTCCTCCGGTTTCCTCCCACTGCTAAAGACCACTACGCGCAGGCGAATTATGGAAATAAGCTTGAACCGTGTGTTAGTCCCGAAATGACCTAGTTTGTGTCGAGTGGACGTTAAACCCCATTTCTTTCTCTCTCTCTCGGCCCATACTTCCTGGTTTGCGAGAAAGTGGTTTACCCATTGAGCCACCGTGGCCCAGATAAAGACTAAAGAAGCCATGCCGAAACATTGCTCAGTAATAAACAGTAATTGTACTCTATAGAATGGTGACCTGTGTAGAAAAATTATGTTCTTGTTTGCAAGTAAGAACAGTCATTGGAGAAACATTTATTTTTCAATCTTTTAAATTGCTTTCACGCCCCCGCTTTGTTTTAAAATAGCGACAATTTGTTGCCTGTTACTGCAATAGCAACTACACTCTAAGACAAAGATATTATTGAATAAAACTGGTTAAAGGAAAATATTGGTTGTCAGCTATTATTACATATGTGATAGAACTGGTTAAACATGTTCCAAATATAATTTTAACACAGAGATCATTGCTACAGGAGATGTGTAACAAACAATTGAATAAACGGGAAGTGACGACAAATATGACTAAAGTAACGAGCGATAACAGGCACACGATCGAATTTCATTTCACTGATAATTCCGTTGACGATGAAAAGTTATTATATGAGACGGTGAGAGGATATCTGACACTTCAAAAAACAATTGACTGTCAGTAGATAAAAGATAACGAACAAATTAGAAAAAGTCCGTGGATTACCATGTTTTTATTAAGAGCAGAATGAATAAAAACAGCGGAATGCACGGGAATTTTCTATTTTTCTCGTTTTCTCTTATCTAGTGACAGCCAATTCTATTTTTGAATTGCGAGATATCCTCTCATCGTCAACGGAATTATCAGTGAAATGAAATTCGCCCGTGTGTCTGTTATTGCTCGTTACTTCAGTCAGTTATAACTCGTGTTTATCATGTCTGTCGTCACGTCCCGTTTATTCAAGTGTTTGTTACACATCTCCTGTAGCAATGATCTCTGTGTTAAAAATTACATTTGGAATGTATTTAACCTGTTCTATCACATATGTAATAATAACTGACACCAATATTGTCCTTTAACATCTCTTTCACATAAATTTAATGCCTGTATTTAATTGCTCTATGGATATGAAATGTGGTTTAACGTCCTACTTTTCTGCACCGACTCTGCTGATGACGACGGACATACGCCATTGAATGTGATATGAGGGGAAAATATTGCCCGGACAGCGGTGCTACGGCCTACTATTATTTCGAATTTAAACTGTCAATTGTGCTTTTAGTCCAATGTGTACACTGTACCCCGGTCCTATGTCCTGTGCCAATGACAAGAGAAACCAAGCCAGAAAACTCCGACAGACTTTCTCGGCCAACAAATGGGAGTGAACCCGAGTTTTCCAGGCTAGCGAGCCAGCGTCTTTCTCACTGAGCTAATACGCCCCCCCCCCCCCCGTCTGGGAAACAAGAAAAAAAGTTTAAGGTTGGCGATTTCGGCTCAAAAGTTAGGTAAACGTAAACGTAAACACAGGAGAGCCGACCACTGTCAAGATTGGTCGCATTATTTCTGTTACGTCTTTTTTGTGAATCATTTTTTTTTCATTTTTAGTGAAGCCTGTACCATAACAGGTCCGGGAGTGTACAGCGCAGTGGACGCTTACGGCTGGCCCCCAGATCCATTCACTTGATTTGATATTTGTTTATTTGGTGCAATGTCTATTTCCTTTCTTGTCCGCAAGTTTATCTTGTAGATTTTTGTTTTGTGTGTAGTGCCGTCCTCCTGCACTTACTATTAATATAGATTTTGCTGTACAACGTATATAATTTTTATTAGTATTATTATTATTACTTACAGATACTGTAACTTGACTAAACCTTCAAAGGCATCTTCAGGAATATATTTGATATAATTATGGCCCAATGTCAGATCTCTTAACTCACTTAGACCCTTGAAAGGTTTCCCTTCTAAAGATGTAATCTCATTGTTTCCCAGATTACTGAAAGCGACAAAAAAACATATAATAAGAAAATATGAAGAGACCTTAATCCGAACCATTAACAAAATAGACAGTCCATTATCCCTGTCTACTTAATGTCCGATCTCTTTGTAGCAGCACAACTAATCATTGGCTTTATTTAAAGGGCCAACACCTCAAACATCTTAAAACAAACCCATTATATTTTAAATTAAATGATTTCATAACCCAATGATTTCAAAATGATTTCATAAAAGTTGACACGTAAAGAAATGAAACATTCCATAATTATTCTGGCCTTTTGTGTCTTTACGAAAACAACGTGAAATGAGCTGAAACTATTTGTTAAAATGACAAAATATGAACAAAACATTCATCTCAACCATAAAATAAATTATATAATAGGGTTGAGATCACATAGGTCATGCCTGTTCCTAAATCTCTTTCACTTTAATAACAATATTGTGGTTTATTAAAAAAAAAGAAAGATAATGCCTTACGGCTCGTTAATGTTCAGTCATCAACATTTCAAACATTAAGAAAGTAACCAAGAAACCTTTCTGACATATGGCATAAAAAAGTTAATCAAGAAAAAATATCGCTATTGTCAATTTCAAATTCGTAATGGATTGATCTCAAAAACTAACGATTTATTCGTATAAAAGAACAAACGCTAAATCATTTAAAGGGACCACCCGGGGCGATTTTAACAGAGTCTCAGAAATAAATGTCCGCTTATGTATGAAATTTAAACGCCAAAATATAGAGGAATAGTGTATTTACCATGTCTCAAATTTTCAGCTCAAAATATTGAATCGTTGCAACGTGAACGTCAAAACCGCTTATCTGGACACCTAACCCTTTTAAGATTTCGAATCAATTTTTTCGTTGGTTGACCTGATAATCTATTGCTGTGCCTTTAGAGGTCTATACAGTACATTATCCATGCGCTGTGCTTGATAACGAAAGGTAGATTTCACCTACACCTTATTTTTATAAAATAAAAGTCTGGATTTATCTAGACACCGTGTAATACAGCTTGGGACACCGATCTCCATTTCTAGATGAAGACTGACGGGTTTAAGTTGTTCGAAAACGTATCCCATATATTGAGTTAATTGCCCGCTTTATTCTCCAAAATAAAATCGAGATTGGCCCTTTAAGCAAACTGAAAAAAAAATAAGTGTTGATGGTCTTATCTTAATACCAAACAATTAATGGACAGTCACAAAGATTACTGTTGTGTTTTTATTACTCCTCATGGTTTCTGTCTGTATAGAATATCGATTTATTTCAACAAGACAGGAGTTATAAACACCTCACTCGTTATCTAGCTGTGAAATGTTAACCTAACAACAGCTCAAATGAGCATAACTGAGGATACGGACAGTCACAATTTTCAACACATGAGTTCAAACTGGGGGGTTGGGTGGCCGTATGGTTAACGCCTGCGCGTTGCATCATAAAGCCTGTATAGAGCTTTGTGTCATTGAGACAAATGGCGTAGTTTCTATCCCCGCTTATACATGACAAGGAGTAGAGTCACCTGTCCAGCCTCGTGTGTTTTCTCTGGGTCCCCCAGTTTCCTTTCACTCCTAAAGATCCCTACGCGCAAAGCTAATTATTGAAATAAAATTGAACCATATGTTAGTCCCGAAATGACATACAGTAGTTTGTGTTGAATGGACGTTACATCCATTTTTCTCTCTCTGAGTCCAAAAGAATAACAAGCGAATAGACCTCGACCCACTCATCCACCTGCTCAGTGCTCATCACCGCCGATGGAGTAAGAAAATGTGGAAATAATTCCGTTGATGATTCAACATTTTATTTATCATTTTCTATCCATGGTGTAATTTAACCCACACATCCAGATCCGCGGGGTATTCGTTAGGATGCAAAATTTTGCGATGGTCCCTTAATCGATGGTCTATTTTAAAATTATAACTTACTATCAACAATCTAGAATAGAAAATGAAATGAGATGGGGGTTTAACGTACTACTGTTCAGCTCTCCGGTTCGGCTAATGAAGACAGATCTATATTAGGAGAACATATCTAAATTTGTTCTGAATCTACTGAGTGGTTCAGGAGTTGAAATAATATGAGAAAGCTTTCGACCATTTTGGGACAAGAGAGGGAGAGAGAGAGAGAGAGAGAAAGAGAGAGCAATGGGTTTAACGTCCACTCAACACAAACTAGGTTTTTTAGGGACTATAATATGCTTCAACTTGATTCCAATAATTCGCTTGCGCGTAGGGTTCTTTAGCAGTGGGAGGAAACCGTAGGACCCGGAGAAAACCCACGAGCTTGGGCCGTACTCCCTGTTACGTACAAACGGGGAATCGAAACCACGCCAATTGACCCAATGACAGACCTTATGATACAAGCAACGGAAAGGGCGTGTAATGATATCGGTAATGATATGGCCAACTCTTCATCCAATTCAAACTGTAAAGGGTTCTTTATTATGCACGACGACTTCAACACCACCCACTCGACACAAACTAGGTTACTTTGGGACTGACATATGGTAAATTGTATTTCTATAATTCGCTTGCGCCTTGTGAAGACAACTGGAGGATCTGGTTGGGCAGGCGACCCTACACTTTGTCAAGTACAAATTTGGGATCTTAAAGTCACACCAGTTGACTCTTTGACAGACCTTATGATCTACAGCAAACTCATCCACTCGACCTCCGTCCTGCACTACTGACAAGGAGAAACCACGCTGGGTTTTAGACTAAATAAAAACACCTAATTAAAGAGCCCAACCGGGTCTATATTGTAAAGCGCAAGATTTGTTAAAAGAGACAAATTTTTATCGAAAATTTTAATTGCATATATCTGATTTTAGCTTTCGTGTTTTAAATATATATACATAAAGTTAATATTTATTTTTATTTGATATTTACTGTGATATTTGTTTTTATTTATGTATATATAGATAATATGTGATTATATATTTCTAGTTTGTCTCGAGAACCTTCACCATATGTTTGGCGCAATATAGCCCGGTTGGAGCTGACGTGCCATTAAACAACATTTCATTCATTCATTCTTAATTAAAGACAGAATGACCAATAATTCAATTACAACTTACATATTCAAGGCTTCTTTACATGCAGACAAGTTCGGTATTTCAGCTATTCTGTTGGAATGTACGTCACTGAAATGATAATTACGTTTATAACCTTTTATTTAAAAAGAAACATACTTTCTGTATCGTTACACACACCATATTTCATAAAGGCACTGTGTGATATAAGGTTAATATGTACATTTAACAAAAATAAGACAAAGAACCGGAGGAATGCACCACACACAATCACACAAGACAATTTTGCGGACAAGACACAATACACAGAAATCACAAACAAACGTACAATAAGGAAGAATATACCAAAACGTTGTATAATACTAGTACGGGTCATGATCTGCTATATGCCACATGAAATATAATTGTTAGCACATTGAAAAATACGTATACAAGTAACCATATCGGTGAAATGTAGTAAAAAGCTAAGTACACTAAATGGCCTATGTAATAGTCAGGAACATTATAAGCGTTCGATAGAATTGAGATGTGTTAATTACAAAGTAAGGGTATGAAGTTAACATAATACGAAAAAAAAAGGTAGGTCGATTCTGGATATATAAATGAGTTATCGTCCAATCGTCTAGATGACTACTTATAGTTGTGTACCTTTTAAAAGTCCATATTTGCCTTTTGTTCTGGCACATTGGGTTTTTAAGACGCGAGGAGTTTTAGAGTATGAAAAAACATCAGACTGCGTTTAAGACTGATATTCGAGCATTTAAGCGTGATATTACTATTATAATAGTCAAATAAAATAGGATTCTTTGTCTCATATTGTAAACTCCTTTTAAAAAGACCGGATTTTAATGTAGATTGTAGTGTGTTCACAAGATATTGTGGACAACGGACGGACAGGGGCGATGGCAATATGCGACTACATTTCAATGTGAGCTTAAAACAAGCATAATATTTACTGTATATTTTAAACAAGAACTTACAAACTACGCAATCTGCTAAGATTAACACAAATATAAGATGGCACCTTGGTAATACTAGCTCTATCAAATCTCAAAACTTCTAAGTTGACAGAAGCTGATAAATCTGGAAACTCTTTCATATCTCGAACTTCCGATATTGTTCTATAATAAAAAGATAATAATTAGGTTATTTGACGTCATAACTTAAAGGACAATATTGGTGTCAGTCATTTCACATATGTGACAGAACTGGTTAAACACGTTCCAAATATAATTTTATCACAGAGATCATTGCTACGATAGATGCGTAATGAAGGTTTCAACAATCGGAAGTGACGAACGCAAAAGGAAAACACGAGTTATCCCTCTATATAACTGACTGAAGTGACGAGTGATAACAGATACATCATTGAATTTCTGCTCACTAATAATTCCTTCGAAGACCAAAAGTTGTTGTGTGAGACTATCAGAACAATTGACTGTCACTAGATAGGAGAACACGAAAGAAAAATAGAAAACGTCCGTGCATTACCATGTTTTCATTAAGTATAGAATGAATTAAAACAAGGGAATGTACGGACTATTTCTATTTTTCTCGTGTTCTCTTATCTAATGACATTCAATTACTTTTTTGAATTGTCAGAAATCCTCTTACAATCTCATTAAACAACTTTTGGTCTTCGAAGGAATTATTAGTGAGCAGAAATTCACCCGATTTGAATATTCCCGAACTAACATAATCTTTGACTCCATATCATATAGTGTTATTCTGACATGATTTCCCCTATAATTATACTTCCGATTATGTGTAATCTTTGACTCCATATTTTATTTCTATTCTGACGTAATTTCGCCTTTAATTATATTCCTGCTGATGTGTGAGCTTTTCCAGATGCATCTTGAGTGAATGTCGAAGTGTATTGAATACATTTATTACCAATAATCATAGAACACCCGACCTAAGGCTATAATGTATATTTACTAATTGAACTCAGACACATAGGATACAATTCTATGGAATACAATTACTATATATAATTCAGTTAATAACGACAAATCTGACATATATATCATTAATCACCTTGGAGGTTACCTAAATTAATGTCACTGTACTAGTGTTTACATGTATATAATGGCCCATGATGTTCTATAGAGAATCCTAGCAGGAATGTCGCTCAATGATAAACTGTATAGTTTTCCATAGAATCGTGTCCTGTGTAGTTTCGACGTGATATTAACAGAACTAGAGAGACGTTTGTATTTTGGTGCACACAATTTGATTCTTTTTTTTTAGATCGATTAATGGAAATTAAATGAAATGAGGTTTAACGTCCTACTGTTCTGCTCCGATTAGGCTATGAGGGAAATTGTACCCGGACAGCGGCGATACGGTCTACTCTTATATCGAATTTTATCTGTCAAGGGATCTTTTAAATGCACACCAATGTGTACATGGGACCGCGGATTTTCGTCCCACCCGAACGACTATGAGCTATCCCTTGCCAGGCCCTCTGTCCCGTTCCACTGACAAGAGTCAACGTCTTACTCAGTGAGCCACAGTGGCTTTGGCTCTCATCCATTACTCGAGATATAGACATGGTTTATTAGAAACTAAATTGCACTGTTACATAGTAGATGGAATATTTACGGCATTTATATATATATAGCCAGCCTGGGACTTCGACATTCCGTTAAAAGTACAAGTTTTGAGAAGGTCACATTCATTATCTCTTGTAGAAAATTCACAACGTCAGTCATTTGGACGGGAAATTACAATTTTTGCTTTTGTGATAACTGGAATACTTCTTTCCGGGAGAAAACCTAGATAGTGACATAGAAATTTAGCATTTAATCCCCTTTGACATGAACTTATTTTTTCTGTCGTATTAAAGTGATATATTTCTGTCCAGTAGAAAACCTAGTCGACAATACTGAGAAGCCATATGAACTTGAATGTCATTCAAAGATCATCTTTTCAATTTAACAAAGTGTGCCAAAAGTGAAAGTCGTGGTAACCCCTGTTACTTTTTTTTTATATAAATCATTATCATTTTTTTTTCATTTTGAGTGAAGCCTATACCATTACAGGCCTCGGACACAGTGAAGTGCTTACGACTGGCCTCAGGATCCATTCTCTTGATTTTGTCATTGAGTCAACTGGCGTGTTTTCGATTCCCCGGTTGTACGTGACAAGGAGTAGGGTCGCCTGTCCAACCTCGTGGGTTTTCTCCAGGTCCTCCGGTTTCCCCACTGTTAAAGACCCCTACGAGCAAGTGAATTATGGAAATAAATTTGAACCATATGCTAGTCCCGAAATGACCTAGTTTGTGTCGAGTGGACGTTAAACCCCATTTCTCTCTCTCTCTCTTGATTTAATATTTGTTTATTTTTTTGCAATGTCTATATTTCGTCTTGTCCGCGGGTTTATCTTGTAGTTTTTTGTTTTGTGTGTAGTGCGATCCTCCTGCACTAGTTTTAGTTCTTGAAACTCTTGTTAAAAAATAAAAAAAATAACCCTGTCAATTTTGTCTGCGCTGTTTTGTTAAAATTCAAAATTTAAATATTTGGAACTCAAAGCTTTTGTGAAGAGAAACTATATACGTACATTTTGTTTTTAAAAAAGTGGTGTTTATAATATGTCTTCCCAAAGGACATGCGTTTAAACTGATGTGCCCCTAGTAAGCCATCAGCAACTTTCAGCCAAACCACAGTAAAAAAAAAATAAAAATTGGACGGATTTCTAAATAAAGAGAGTTTAATGGACTCTTGAAGTTCAGTAATGTATATTATTCCATTAGTAAGCCATCAGCAACTTTCCGCAAATCCGTAGTAACAAAAGAATGGACGGATTTCTAAATATTAAAAGAGTTCAGTAAAGTAATTAATCCATTAGCAGCCATCTGCAACTTTCCGCTTACAGTGAAAAAAAAAAAAAAAGTATATTGGGCCAAGAATGCAGTGATTTTTGAATATTGAGAGCGTGAGGAGAAACCTATAAGATGTGGGGTGGGGGTGGGGGGTTCGGCGGGGTTGATCAGATAATATTTTTGTTTAAAATTGTCACTTCATGCAGATAGACCTCAACAAGACATCCTTTAGACACCACCCAGGCATCAAGACATGGTTTGAATGAGCTGGGTTCTCGCCAGGCCCCGCGAGTACCCGAGCACTCGTTAGAATATGCTATCGTTTTTATTCTTGAACAGAAACTACAATTCCCCCATCGTACGTGACAAGAAGCATGGTCCCCAGTCCAACATCGTGGATTTTCTACGGGTCCTCCGGTTTCCTCCCAATGCTGAAGACCACTATTGAAATAAAAAGAACCCTTTATGTTAATCTCGAAATATGTTAACCCCCCCCCCCATTCCCCCCCTGTCTCTTAATTTTACAGTATCTGGTTATGTTATAGAAATCTTATACCGACATGTTGGCGTTTGGAAAGTAATTATGCTTTCATAAAGTGTCATTTTGTCTCGGGAAAGACACTTTGTTGGTTTAAATGGAACCTGATATTCTGTTTTACTACGTCTCGGCTTTTTACGAGCGATTTAAATTTCCAGTTATCGCACTGATCTAGCTATACAGTTTCCTTTATTCTTTATCCCAACTAAATGGCTATATATTGAGGCTATAAGCTCCAAGTCTTGACTTTCCCTGTGTTTAAAATACATACAAACAATTCTACACAATCTCAAGACTGGGTAGACGTAATTTTCGAATGCATATCTCAACTCAAAGGGGCATTGTGTAAGATTAAGATAAAGAGCTGGCAGTTCTCGCTATAATATTTCAAAAATAGATAATGCAACACTGTGTGCTGATATGCTGATATTTTGCCCAAACGCTTAGACTTCACCCACACTAAACTTACGCTGTCTGTCTACAACTAGTCCCCCTTAAGAACAGGCACTAAGTGAGTTGGCCGACATTTTCATTCCTAAATCGTCGATTTTAGTCGAAACCACTCAGTATACTAAGCGAATTTTGAAAACTATTTCTTTCGTTTCCATTTGATAATATAGAAAAGGTTTATTTAGTCTTTGTATGACAGTCATGTCAAACGGAGTAGAACCACATTACAATTGTTTTAGATATGGTGGCCATACAGAGCAGAGATCTATTCTCAACATAGATAGTTCTCTGTGTGCAGAATGCGACTTCATCGAATTTCACCTGTCAACGCGAATACGGCTGGATGTCGGACGTTCGTACAGGGTAAACCAGGTAGGTAAAATCTCAAGGACGTTGCTCGGACATCCGGGTTACTGACCTAGCTCATCGAGCCATCGTCTCCCTCTAGTCTAGTAATGCGACTGTTAATATGCTTACTCCGACGCATGTAGGTTTTAATTTTCGATTTTTGGGGACAATATTGTTTTGATTGATTGCATTCACAAAGATGAAACCAACGCCTTCGGTTGTTTTAGCTAAAGTTAGACCATTTTGTTCTGTTTAATTATTGATATTTATGTATTTGACTAAGGCACCAAGCTGTGTGATTCATGAAGAAGACCGAACATGAGTTCATATACCATGTATCAATGACGAAACATATATTATTCAGCAAGGCGCATTACACATGGAATCCCTGAGGCCTCCAATAACCATTTAAGTGAAAAAATTCAACCCGTCTACAAATCGAGCAAAAGAATCTTTCACTAAATTGATATCCATCCATTAAACCACAACATTGGGTGTTGGGTGTCGAAAACTTATCCCTGTGGGTCTTTTCGCTCCGTATTTTCAGACCGTGTTTGGTTTAAAGTAATTGTTAGCTGCGTGTAGCTCATTTGTTTTCTTTTAAAGACAACCAGTCTCTTAAGACAAGAAGCGAGACCTTTATTCATCGATTCTTTTACTTTTCAAACAATTGGGGGTCACGGTGGCTAAGTGGGTAAGACGCTGGCTCGCTAGCCTGGACGTCTAGTGTTCGATCCCTGCATTGGCCTAGAAAGTTCATCCATATTTTCCGGCGTGGCTCCCCTTGTCAGTGATGCTGGACGGAGGCCTGACAAGGACAGCTTTCTAGTCGTTCGGATGGGACGAAAAACCGAGGTCCCATGTACACATTGGCGTGCAAGTAAAAGATCCCTTGACAGTTGGAATTCGATATAAGAGTAGACCGTAGTGCCGCTGTCCGGGCAAAAATTTCCCTCGTAGCACACTGTATGGCGTATGTCCGCCTTCATTAGCCCAGTTCGGAGCAGAATCGTAGGACGTTAAACCCCATTTCATTTTATTTTTTCAAACAGTTATTTTTTCATCAGGTTATAAGCCACAACTTGTAAATACTCGTAAACATAGGATTTTATTTATCGATTCTTCTACTTTTTAAACAATTTATTTTTTCATCAGCTAGTGTTTTAAGCCTTTTGAGATACCCTTTCTTCCAAGAAAAAAATCTTTTAAAATTTCTAACCTTGTTTACATTTGCGTGGTATTCTTAATTTGATTAAGAATGAATAGCCCATAAAAAATTCTGATCAGTAAAGAAACCGTCGTAAATTTTAAACGGATTTCTTCGATTGTGAACAAACTACTTACTAATTGTTATTAAAAACTTGCCTATGTGTTTGAAATCACCTTAAGTTAAATAAAATCCATTGTGCAACTAAATATCCCAACGAATAAAAAAAGTTCTCTCTTGTAAAGTCAAATTTCTTGCTTGTTTTTTTATGGAAGACCAAACAACTCTTTATTTAGTGTTCTTAATCCTTATTTCTTAATTCATGGTCCTTAATTCTTATTTCTTCATTTGTTGTATTTCAACATTTGTATACTAAAATTAACATTTGTGTCTTAAAATTAACATTTGTGTCTTAAAAAAAATTAACATTTGTGTCTTAAAATTAACATTTGTGTCTTAAAATTAACATTTGTGTCTTAAATTAAAATCAATATTTGTGTCTTAAAATGAATATTTGTTTTACAAATCAGACATGTGTCATAGCAGATTTGTAAAATGTATTTTAATTGTATTTCAATATAAAAATAAAATTTATTTTAGAAAATAAAAAATTAGCCTACATTTACATTTCATCAGAGAAATACAACGAAAAACAAATCTGGAACAACAAATTTCTAAATACAAATCTCCGAATACAAATCTTGCAAAACATTTCTCCAAAAACATTTCTTCAAAAACATTTCTTCAATAAAATTTCTCGAAATTCATTGAACCGGAACATTATGACACCATACAATAAAGGAGAATCGAGCAAACATATATACAATAAGAAAAATCGCTCGATGACCACGACTTTAGTGAAATCGCTAATACTCGTACATTCAAAGAGCGATAGACAAATACTTTCCGATAACTGGAATTTCGTAATAAGACGCGTATTTTGACTTTATGAATGTATATAAACTGATTTACATTCAGTTGTTTCCATGGGGCAGCCCAACCAATGTCACCCAGCTTTATGGTGCGCCCGTACTGATATGGGCACGTTGATCGTTGGCTTCGTGTTGCACCCATTTGGGGCATATACCCCCTCGCCCCCCCCCCCCCCCCGCTAGCTACGGGCCTGATATTGCCAATAATTGCTGTTCTCTCTATAAAGTCACTTACTGTAAACAAACGTTATTTTGGAAGACAATCAATGTCAGAATTAGAGTCTTCGCAACCGTTGTATTTGAGAAATATGGAGCTTTGTTAGATTCAATAATTTGCAGATGACTGGATGTGGATGGTTTGAATAAATTAATAACTATACTGCTACTCTAAATATGCATTATGCAAGAGTTACTTCTGTCTATTTCAGATCTTTTTATTATTATTATAGCAAGAAAGATCAACTCTTTATCCTACATAATACATGTTTCATATTTTCTAAGAAAGTCAAAACATAATTATTTCTATGTCTTTTGCTCAATAGGTTGTCAACTCACTATTATACGATCATAGGTTATCTTTCTCACACTTAAAAATCTTCACACCGGAAATAATAACACAATTACCTCCCTTGTTTTCCTATTCTCTACCATGAAATAGCTATCTTCAAACGTTTGAATTTGTTGTTGAAAATGATATTTTTGCCAATTTCTCGAATGGCAATAGTTAATTATAGGATTAATAGGATTATTCTTTAACAAGGTAGGACTGTTTATAGATACCATCTATTTTAGGGCTTTATTTTAATACATTTCAAAAATATAACTTAAAAATATGAAATTGTAACTTTAATTAACCATGAATTGTATACTTACAGTTTCTCTAACATAGGTAAACCTTTAAAAGCATCTGTATTTATGGCTGTAATAGGGTTGCCTTTTAAAGCTAGGAATGTTAACATATGGTTATTTATAAAACTATGAACTGGTAAATATTCTATTTTATTATCTTCTATATTTCTGTAATAAAAAATTCAACATATTAATTAAATTCTGATGCTTGAGTAGTTTCCCGGATGGACTAACAAGGACAGTGTCTGGTTGTTCGGATAAGACGAAAGACGGGGTCCTGTGTGCGTAAAATAACCCTTGACACAGAGTAGACCGTTACACCACTGTCCTGGCAAAATTTCCTTCATAGCACACTGTATGGCGTATGCCCATCTTCATTAGCCCAGTTCGGGGCAGTGGCGCGCGCCAGCCGCCGGTGGTTGGAGGGGCAGACCTGGGGCAAATTTTTGAAAAACAGGCTGCCGGAAATGCAGCCTGGTAGTATTTCAGACACTGATCGTTGAGATAAAGTGTCAAACGAACGGATTTGCGAACCTCCACGAAGCCCACTTACGAGCGCCAAAGTAGGGAGTAACTTACGGAGGGTATGGGTGACCTCTCCCAGAAAATAGTGAAAAATAAACTGCTAGAAATGCTGTCTGTGTATTCAGTCTGGCACCGATCGTCGAGATAAATAGATCTGACCAGATACTGTCCGTCGCCTAATCAACGAAGTCCCCTTGGGAGCGCCAAAGTAGCGAGTCCTAGGTGGGGGGGGGGGGCTATTTGGAAAAATAGACTTTGGAAAAATAGACTTTTGGAAATGCTGTCTGACAGTATTCTGGCACCGATTACCACAAATACCTTTTTTTATTTTCTAAAATTATTGAGTGGGGGGAGGGGCAAACAGAGGGCCTTGCCCCCCCCCCTCTTGGCGCCGCCACTGGTTCGGCAGAACAGTAGGACGTTAAACCCCATTTCATTTCATTTCTAATGTTCTTTCCACACTTTTATTGTCTGGGTTAACTAAAGCAGACATACGCCATGTAGTGTACTATTGGGGAATATTTGGCGGAACAGCGGCGTTTCAGTCTACTCTTCAGTAAATTCCTATTGCCAAGGGTTCGTTTACGTGCAAAACCAACGTGTACATGGGACTTTGGTTTTTTATCCCACCCGAACGACTAGACAATGTCTTTGCTTGACCCCCCACCCACCACACACACACACACACACACACACCCACACACACACTCCGTCCTGCACATCTGACAAGTGGAAACCACGCTGGAAAATCCCGGTAAATTTTCTTGACTAACAAGGATCGAAGGCTATAATTCCTCTTAAGTGTGGCACCGCCTTAATCACAGGGCCTTCTGACAATAAAAAAAGCCATTTACTGAAATAATTCATTATTTAATCTAATCTCTCGTCAAAGAATTAAAAAGTATATTGATGTATTCCATATTATGTGAATTTTCAATCCCCCAGAGTTAAACAAAACTTTGAAGCGGTACAATATCTAGTTTAGCTAAGCACTACATGACACATCATGTATATTAGCTACAGAGTATTGGCGGTATTACTGTATCAAAGCTGAATTCCTCAGTAAATTTAACGTATAAAAGAAATACTTACAAATCTCTTAATGAAGTTAATACTGATAAAGCTGGTGGAAGGTGTGTTAATCGGTTTTTATTTATTTCCCTGAAGTAAAGAAATGTCTTTGAAAATAAATGAGAGAAAATTACACAAAGGAGCATAATTATTTCCAAGGGAGCCAATTCGATTTCTGTTAATTTTCCCACAAGAAAAGAAGGATAAAGGGTAATACTGATATACCTGGGGGAAGGTGTGCTAATCGGTGTTATTTGCTTTTATTTCCATATCTGTTTTAAATTTCCATATCTATTTTTCAAATCTCCATATCTATTTTTCAAATCTCCATATTTATGATCTTTTTTTAAATTTCCATATTTTATGGGTTTTGTTTTTTTAAATTTCCATAAATTTATTATAAAATTTCCATAAATTTATTATAAAATTTCCATAAATTTATTATAGAATTTCCATTAATTTATTATAAAATTTCTATAAATTTATTATAAAATATCTACATTTTATTTGTAAAATTTCCGAAAAATGACATAAAAATATGCACAAGTAAATAGAAGATGTACATAGCTTACATTAAACCCTAACATTTTAAAACACCAATTTAATCTAAACTAAATGTATGTAAAATTTAAATGATTACTTACAATATACGTAGTACATTTAGGCCACTGAAAGCATAATCCTGGATTTCTTCTATAAGATTATCGTGAAGAAGTCTGTAAAAATAAAATCAGACAAATCACAAAGTCATGCATCAGATTCTATATAAATATCTAAAACCATTGTTCTGGCGATAATGGTATTAGTCTACATTCCTTCCGTTAAAAGAATAGTGATTAAACCTTTTTATATTATGATCCTATTTACATATTAGACTTTGCTATTGTTCTAATATGCCGAGAAGTTAAGCTGGTGGTTGATCATTAAGGATGGTGTAATAAACCAGTTTAAACGCGCCTTCTACCTATAATAAGTCGTCTGAAAATGGCTTATAATCCATAGGGTGGTTTATTAACTTGAGCGTCTGTTCAGGTCAGATTTGAGGAAAATGAAGCACTTGTACCGCGACGAAAGTACAGATAAACTCGTATCATACAAAGCATAGTCTCAGGTTTCGCGAATAGAAATAAAGATCTTTGGTAATTTATAAGCATGTGTAATTAACCAGTGCACACCTAGGTTATTGTTTTCGTTTAAAACCGCTTGAGATCTGAAAACGATTCATCCTTGGTCGTCTGCACGGAAGGAATTATTGCACTTCTACACTCCCGACTTATGTCGTCTGAACGACATATAATGAAATGATTACTGCATTTCTACACCCCTCCAAGTATGATTTCTTTGGGAATGCCATTTGACTCAAGCCGACTGGGGCCTTTTCAGCCATATATTTCTTTGCACAGACTTATTCTGATAACAAAAAGTGACACTGTTTCCAGCACTTGAGGTGATATAAAAAGTACTTACAGAACAACCAAGCGAGTTAGATTCTGGAAACTGTGGTTAGGAATAACTTTAATCTTATTTGCTGCTAATGTTCTGAAAGAAAGATACAAGAAAAGACTAATGGTGATAAATTTGATTATATATCAGTCTCGCTGTTTGCGGAAAATTTATCCTAACCCTGACACATTTTGCAAACATCTGTAGTCAGCCCCTAATCACCGCGAGGCCCACGAGGTTGGACAGGTGACCCTACTCCTTGTCACATACAACCGGGAAATCGAAACCCCGCCAGTTGACTCAATGACAGATAGTATGATACAGCGCAGCACGCACGTGCTAACCATTCGCCCCCCCCCCCCCCTCACAGTAACAGCAGACGGTAGAGGATTCTTTATTGTTGAATTAGTTTCATCAACTGGTGTTTTTGTATGTACGGGACACGACATATGCAATTCCCAGTATCGTTCGTTATGGGGAAAATATAGATGGTTCTCCTAGAGGCGAAGTAAATTCCGATTCAAATACAAGAACCATAACATGTCTATCCGTGGTAATTGGTTAAAAAAAAAATAAAAAAAAAATAATAAAACCATTCGTATTACTTGGGGCTGCAGACAATTATTTATCTTATTTCAAAACTGCGTGTCAGACGTCTGGGGTAATATAGCGGTTATGTTCGGCGAAACAAGTGAATGGCAATCGGTTGCGCCTGGTTAGTTCAGTCTACAAGTTTATCGTTTAGTTGTATATGGATCAGCCAGTTTTAATTGCTTCCACTTTTTGTGGTGTGTGTCTTTGTAATTTGTTCATTAAATCTTACAGATGACGCTCAAGACCAATCTGTCTAACAGAGGTATTACGAAAGCCTTCTCCCAACTATGTATAAGATCACTGACCTTTATAAGATCACTGACTCGAAGGCGCGTACATTATTTACATAAGATGTAGTAAAGTAAACTGGTCCGAGCAGAATGGTGCCTTTTACTCATTTTATATACCCATTTACACCTCATGAATCTGACCTTCTAATCGTATATATATATATTTATACACCATACCGAACTAGATTCCCGTGTTTACACTAAATAGGAAATATTCTTTATCCATATATACCTCAAATACCTTTAGTTATCTATCTAATACTCCCCCCCCAAAAAAAAAAACAACAAAAAAACCCCCCAACAAAATGTCCTAGAATTTAATTTGCAGAAAGAAAAAAGTTAATATAGAGAGCTAATTAACCCGCATCGATGTCATCCATCTCAGTGATTGTAGTGGCCTACATGTACATTCACTGCTGATCAGTTTGGCTCGAGACCATAGAAAACATGACGTCGGGATCTGATTTTAAAATGTTCATTGTTTATTAAATATTAAGATATCGGAAGCTCGTATTTTCACGGTAAGATAAAGAAACAAATTCAAGTTTTTAATGTTGAAATTTATGGATGATATTTAGTTAGAGGTCCAGTTCCTTTAAAGGAAATATATTTTTCCATTTACACTATTAGGCAGGCGACCATAGTACTCACTAAATGGAGGATGGAAATGAATTGGGTTTAACGTCCCACTTTTCTGCACCGACTGGGGTAATGAAAACGGGAATACATCGTATTTTATATTTTCCATTAGGAAAATGGATACAAAAAGTCCGCAGATATGTGCAAAAACGCAACACGACCCCGTCTTAAAAAATGGTTTAAAAATGAGCGTCTGAATGGAGCAAACTCACTGGGCAATCTCGACCCCGGGAGATATTAGTAACGATCATAGTTGGTCAACTACAATTTGCAAAAAACCTAGATTATTACGTCTAGCACTGTTTCATTTTTTGTAAACAAGGGACTGTAAAATCCATAGATATTAAAATTTATGTGGAAATTTAATATCTTTGATATATTAAAAGTTAAGGAAACAAAATTCCGATAATAATGCATGGAATAATACTTCATTTTTTGTAAACACGGGACTATAAAACCCATAGATATTAAATTAAATTTATATATATATAAACGGAGGAAAAATTTGCGACAATAATGTCTATTATTATTTCCCCCAAGGATGATACAACTGTGATTTAAAAAATATAGAATAATGATGATTACTGTCATAAACGTTATTTGTTTGCTGAGTAATGATGATTTATGATTTCAGATACATGTGTTTTTTTTAAAAATCTGCCATGAATATTTTCAACTTTAATATATCTTCACCATTTCCCATGGTTTTAACAACAAGCGATTCACCTGTATCGTCCCTGAGTGGGGTGTCCACACACTGATAATACATTGCTCGATGCTTCCAAATGCAGTAGCTTCGACTTCTTAAATCTAATTGAATTTGAGATTAACGGTTCTGGTGCACGGGGCAGGATCAGGGTAGAATCCAAAAGGTTAAAGCAAAGTACCGCTTGATGAGAAAATAAATTTCCCGACTCTATGAGCAATCCTTTAACTCGAACAGCTAAGTGGACGTGTTAGGTGACAAAACATTCAGCTGTTTCCTGACTATTTTAATAATGTACTTTGTTTTAATAAAATACTTTCTTTCAGTAATGTACTTTGTAACACAGTTTACTTTTTATCCATAGCGTATTTTTTTTTTCATAATGTATTTTGTATTCATAATTCATAATGTACTTTATATTCTTAATTCATAATGTACTTTATATTCATAATGTACTTTATATTCAGAATGTACTTTATATTCAGAATGTAGTTTGTATTCAGAATGTACTTTGTTTTCAGAATGTACTTTGTATTCAAAATGTACTTTGTTTTTATAACGTATTTTGTATTCATAATGAACTCTCGCATTCAGAATGTACTTTGTATTCAGAATGTACTTTGTATTCAGAATGTACTTTGTTTTCATAATGTATTTTGTATTCATAATGTACTTTGTATTCATAACATACTTTGTATTCAGAATGTACTTTGTTTTTATAATGTACTTTGTATTCAGAATGTACTTTGTTTTTATAATGTATTTTGTATTCATAATGAACTCTCACTTTCATAATGAACTTTGTATGTAACAAGAATCCGCACTAGAAATACTTACAATGCTTCCAAGGATGATATATGCTTTAAAGCTTCTACAGGAACGGTTTGAAGTTTATTAGCATTCAAATAAACATTTTTCAAAGAAACCATATTTTTAAAACTGTCGGTTGGTACATAATCTATTTCATTAGCGTCTAGATGTCTGCAAGAAAGAAATTAAACCCGTAATTATTTTGAATGACACAGGTAATTAACTCAATCTAAATTTGATTTAATCATGTAAGGTGTAATTATTTCTTTAATTCAGGTATGTCACTGGGTATATTTTTAAATATGTTGTCTGGAATATAAGCTATTCTGAAAGAAAACATATGTAACCAGTAATTATTTTGAATAAAACAAACATGACATAGGCAATTAACTGAATTTAAATTCTATTTAACTATCTAAAGTGTAGTATTTTGTTTATTTTAAGTATTTCATTGGACATATAATTGTTTGAAGATGACAATGTCGAATATGATAAACTAAGATTAGAAAAATTATCAAAAAGGGATTCATCTTAAATCTTGATCCATGAGAAAGATCTCTTACAAAGGAAATGTTGATTTACGAGAAAGATCTCTTATAAGGATCCGAATCACAAGAAAGATTTGCTACAAGGATCCAATTAATGAGAAAGATCTGCAACAAGGGGCCTGTTTCACGAAATCACGAGAAAGATTTGCTACAAGGATCCAATTCATGAGAAAGATCTGCAACAAGGGGCCTGTTTCACGAAATTTTAACTAGTAATTTGATTGGATAATATTAGATTGATTTCAGTACTTAGCCAATCAAAATTGAAGTATCTACTAAAATTTGGATTTTATCTTTAGTTAAAATTTCGTGAAACAGGACCCAGGATCCAATTCATGAGAATGATCTGCTACAAGGATCCAATTCATGAGAAAGATCTGCTACAAGGCTCTGATTCATGAGAAAGGTCGGTTACAAAGATCTAATAAAGAGATATACTTTTAGTTACAAACATGAATACTGCCACGTCAATTTGAAATTGACTAGAGCTTTGTTCTATGGAAGAAAATAAAATGAGAGCACGACCAGTATTCTTTCAAAGTTCAGTATTCCATGGCATTAGCAATTTTCAAATTACTAGCAACTGATCTAATGTACTAATATTTTGGTAGGCGCCCCTGTACCAGAAACGAAAGACTGAAATTTGATTTATTTACATTAGTAACAAAGGTGGTTCAGTGAGTATAACACCGACTCTCCAACCAGAATATCCCCAAACTATTGTCGACCGAGAACGTTCCTACTGGCAAGAAATAGCCTATAATCGTTCGAACTGAACGAAAACTGCACTCTATCTATGTATTCTAGCGTGCGTGCACGTGACATAATCTTTGGATTTCGACAAAGAGTAGGTGGAATCACCTCTGTCCAGGCAAAATTCCCTTCACGGCACACTGCTTGGTGTGGTATATATGCCTCTATCCAGGCAAAATTCATCTCACACTCCTCACAGAACGATGCTTGGCTTATGTCCGTCTTCGTTTTCCCGGTCGATGCAGACAAGTAGGACGTTAAACCCCGCTGAATTATTTCAATTCAGAGTGTACAGTTACAGATGTTATGACCTTTGATAAGAATCGATTATTGCTCCATACAGAGCAAAAATAAAATGATGCTGTCTTTGAAATTGATCACTTCTGATAACACGATGTGTGATGTTTACACTTGCTAAAATCATTAAATAGCTTTCTGTCAGACGGACGAAATCGGAAGGGTAATTGACGGTTTACCCTTCACTTCAACTAAAGATCATGTGTGCCAATAAAATTCCGAACAGAACAATTCTTATTCCAAATACGAAAAGGTCATATGTCTCTTTAATTTGTACTCACAATTGTTGCAAATTTCTGAGGTTCTTAATGGCATGACTTGGAATTTCCTTGAACCGATTTCCTTGTAAACAGCTGAAATAAATAATGGATGGAACAATTTATCGATTTTATGTTAAAAGATTAAATAAAATAGAAAAAAAGAAGAGAGTTAAGTTTTCTTATTTTTAACATCTAACGAATCTCTTCGACGAAAGCCAAACATGTTTAGTGAAAGACTTTAAGACGTTTTTGACATTTTTATGAGAATTATTCCACAGTTTTGTTACTAAACGAGTACCAGATACAATCCTAATTCAAGGATAGACACGTTATTCAATGATCTTCTCTCAAGAACGCATACTTAACACAAATACATGGAGAGAAAATATGGAAATGTGTTACACTAAAACAATGGTTAATCAATGTAATTTCGTTTATCTCTCCAAATTACGTTATTGAATGATCTCTCAAAGACACATGATTAACACAAACGGAGAAAAAAAATGGTAATTTGGTTTATCTCTCCAAATTGCGTTTCTTTTCATTAAATACTGTAAAGTCCCTTACAATCCTTTCACAACAAGTTCCCAAATTCTACTCCATGCAAGTGCCCGGATAACCAAATCTATATCCTAGCCAAAGTTTTATTGGTAGCGGGTCGTATCATTTACTAAGTACCTCAATCAGTTAAAGGGCTAATCCCGATATTTTTTTGAGAATAAAACTGCTTAATTTTGTGTTAAAATCCCTTTAATTCCTCTATCTAAGGGCGGAGCAACTAACTCAATATTTTTGATAAGTTTTCAAACAACTTAAACCGTCAGTCTTCATCTGGAAATGGAGACCGGTGTCCCAAGCTGTATTATGCGGTGTCTGGATAAAACTAGACTTTTATTTTATAAAAATAATGTGTAGGTGAAATTTGCCCTTCGTTATCAAGTAGAGCACATGGGCCATTCACTATATAGACCTTTCAAATAACGGGAATCGATTATCAGGTCACCCAACGAAAAAACTGACCCGAAATCTTAAAAGGGTTACGTGTCCAGATAAGCAGTTTTGACGTTCATGTCCAAACGACTCAATATTTTGAGCTGGAATTTTGAGAGAAGGTAAATACACCATTCCTCTATATTTTGGCGCTTAAATTTCATACGTACTCCGACTTTTATTTTTGAGAGTCTCTTGAAATCGGGATAGTCCCTTTAAAGAATGAAATTCCTTAAATGGGTTAAGGAACCCTGTTAAGTGACCCTAGGGATCAACTAAGAATGACTCAATATTTTTGTTTTAAAAAAATAAACGGTATCGTCACCCTTTATATAGCTAATCCCACGTATTTTTTTTTACTGAAATGGTATCGTATAGCAAATGTATAATACACTTGTCCTCTATTACAATATTGCACATCACTATATGTGCTCCTAAGGATCTGGATAAGGGAGACTATCTTAACCTGGCAAGCGGGAAGCGAGGCCTACTGCCATGTTCATCTGATCTAATAACTATATCATATAATTCTGTGTACGTATGTGAAACATGTAAATCAACCATGAAGAAAGCACCATTATAGAAATCAGGGACCTTCCCTTTAATTCCTTCTAGTCCTAGCTGCCAGATTACCCATGGACATTTCCTTTGCTTTTTATATAACGAATTAACCATTGAGATAATCACATAGACATAAAAAAAAATTCATCAGATTGGCAATCAAAGGAAAACATAAAGTGACACAAACATGGTGCACTTTCAAAGCATCGCTGTTTATGAAAATACAAATGTATAGCCAAAAACGGTAAGACAATCTCCGGTGATGAACAGGAAAAGCTGCTTATTTCCGAAAATTTCACTTTAATTTAGCTGGCAATCTATTAAAGCATCCAAGTGATTATAAAACACATCAGAGCTTGTATTTTGTTTCGTATTACATATTTCCTTCAACACTGCTTGTGTAAGCTATTATTGGCTGCCAAATCGGCCAATAGCATATATCTAATAATTATGTGTTTCGTCGCATTATAATCATAACAATAAGGCATTAAAAACGGTTCATTACTATAAAACGTCAACTCATTATCCATCGCTATATCTAGAGGCGATTGGTTGTTATTGGTCTACTAAGTTTGTTTGCAGATTAACTAAACTAAACCGCAATTCCTCTGGTGCTTTTATGTTGTACTTCCAGTAAACCAATACCTGTTCACAAAATGGTTAGATAACCAGGGCTATAGATTAATGTGGCATGTGGGCTCCTGGATGTAATTCAAGCAGGAGCCTTTCCATCAAAATGGTTATTAACAATTTTAAAATCGATGTGTTCACTGCTTGCATTTAACAATGGGATCTCTAAAAGAAGTTATTGTGGAATGCTGGGATGTCAATGGGGCAGATTGTACGACAATTGGATTACTACCCCGTCGATTATATACATGTAGCGATGACATCAACAGGTTGACACCGCAGTACGTCTGCAACGGAAGATACAGTTCTCTGGATTAAATATCTTCCATAACGTAAAATAGCTATCCTATCTGATCAAACAGTAGCACTTTTAAGGATATTTCAATACTTTTTTTTCTCTGTGTATTTATTTATTTCAACATTAGATTACTTGATTTGGTTACCAACAAAAGAATAAGTACCATTTGAAATTATATTAGAACATGGCACACAATTAGAAATCCAAAGAAAACTTACAGAACTTGTAAAAGTTTGTTATTTTTCAGGAGTCTGTTTGGAAGATGTTTAATAGTGTTGCTCACAAGGCGTCTGAAAAAGAAGGAACACAAATTCATCAAATTTATTGATCGCGTATCTGAATTCTCATAATTTACATCTGAAATTAATTCAACGATTTGTCATTCTAGCAGATGTTATTACCAAGGGTCTAATTTATCAAAATTCTCAAGTCGCCAACTCTTATCGTACTGTTGACCCTATCAACCTGGACTTTAGCTAAAGAGTTAACTGTACTTTTATTAGGTCTTCACAGTCTGCACACAGAGATCTATCTACGTCTAGAATAGATCTCTGGCCTGAAATGGCTGCCGTATCCAAAAATTAGTTGTATGGTTTTACTCAATTTCGCATCTGTCAAACACACTAAGAGGAAATAAACTTGTTTAATTTTATTAAATGGAAGCCGATTAATTACTTCTTAAAATTATCGAAGTACTATACTTAGCGTTTTTGACTAAAATGTCGGTCAACTAGCTTATAGTGTCTGTTCTCAGGGGAGGCAGAACAGCGTAATTTTAGTATGAGGTGTTTCCTATCAAACGACTAATATGAGTTCTTTTCCCAATCTATATATACTTTACAAAGTCACAATTTTTGTATTTTATCTAATTCGCCGAAATTGCTGCGGTTCATTTGGGTTTTTCAATTTTCAGTATAACCGTGCACGTTAGCGTAGACCTACAGACTTGTTTCTCTCGTTAGTCCCATTTCCATTTATGGGGTTGTTGTTGAAACCTTTTCTATTTATAGTCAATCATACTTTGATCACAAGACGTTCGGAACAAACTTATTGACAAAATTTATTTTATAATATCAAATTTAATCATTTAATCTAAATTTTGATGATTACTCCGGTCTTTGCGATTCTAACAAATGCCATTATCGGAAGTCATTAGATTTTTTTCTGTAATATGTTGCCAGGCAATGAAGCATACGTCGAGCAGCCCACAAAGTTTGTGTGGCATATTTAGGGCATTCAAAAGACAGTAAAAACTGAACAAGGTTAACAACACAGGAATCATTTATTACAAATAATTGAAATTTGATTCGCTTCTAGTTCTTCCTGTGTATCAATTTTAAATCAAACGGACCATAACTTTGGCCTCTATATACGACCATATTTCAGCTTTCGTATTTGAATTTTTTCGTTAAAGTCACAGAGTACCGGACTAATAATTTAGATGTTAACAGTAAATTTATTTGCTCTTCGAATTTTCTTGCTAATACTAACTTTAATGTTTTTTAGAAGCTTGATAAATACGGCACCATGATACGTTTAAGATCTTTTTATCACCCAATAATACATGCTACAGTAGATATCGCGTGTGTGATAAATTTCATAATCTACTGCGATATCTACAGTGGCGATATCGCTGAACATGAATTTGATTGTTCAGTTAAAAAAGGAACTACTTTTTTATTTTCAAAGGACAGTTTATTTTTTTTATTAACAGTAACTTCTTTATTTTTTTTTATTAAAACTGACCTATTTTTATTTAACTGACCTTGATGGAAACACTGGGTCAATAAAAATGACTTTGCAATGATTGAATTGCTGTCAAAAATGATGTATCACTACGCCGTAATGTAATCAGGTTCAGTAAAAGCGAAATCTATAGCAAAGAATTATAATTATTTATTTGTGTATGTATGTAAGAAAGGATTGGACGATAAATAAAATCTCCTACTCGTCTTTTTTGATATCAAAAAAGACTCGTAGGAGATTCCCTATGAATTACACAGTTTATTGATTTAAAATGACATATTTTAAAATTTTAAAACATTTGTGGCTCCTCTGACTTTACTAATTAGAGGGCAATGTCCTTAATTGAAAATTACTCACAGTTCTCGTAAATGGTGTAATTTATTAAAAGTTCCTTCTGGTATAATGGTGATGTTGTTCATGCTCAAATCTCTGAAATAGAAAACATGCCATGTTGATCTATATTTAACAATTATTGTATTTGATGTTAAAGCGGTGGACACACTAGCCGAATGATTCGGCCGAATGATTCGCCCGAATCAAACAGGTTAGATATATTCGGCCGAATAATATTCAGCCAATCACCACTCATATCGAGAAGTCACGTGATAGATTGAAGACATAGACGCCGCCATGTTTAATCATGTGACGTGAAAGGTGATGCAATCGACAGGTTGAATCGGGCGAAGCATTCGGCTAGTGTGTCCACCCATTCGGCCGAATAAAATTCGGCGCCGATTGATTCGGCCGAACGATTCGGCTAATGTGTCCACTGCTTAAGGAAATGGAAATAAAGAACCATTCTAATACTTTATGATTGAGCCACGAGTAAATTTACATGGAGGAAGTTAAGCATTTAATATGGTGATTAAGTATGGTGGGTGATAGGTATCATTTTCTAATGTCGGTTTGGGGCAAATATTTGGGTGACGGAACGACAACTCCGTCGTGCGACAACTATTGACACCATGTCCGTATGACGCCATCATGATGTTGTAACCATATAATAATTGATGTCATAGGCCTTTATTACACATATCATAACAGTCATCCTTGTAATAGGCCTATGCTACACATACAGTTGCAGTGTAAACACATTATATATTGCGTGTGTCGACGTACAAGAAATTTAATCACGGAAACAGAATTTCCCTAGAAAACGAGCTCATGCTGATATCTTTCATGGTTCCTTTTCCTGCCGGAGTCTTTATGTCAAATAAGATCCATAAGGAAATTACCATCCGTGATAAAAATATAAATATACCCCCAAACTTGTACATGGCCAATCATTTATAATATACCAATATGTCTGACGCCCCCGGCAACAAAATAATTATCACTACAAAAATAAATCAGTTTATTTAAACCCCCTGGTGAACAGCCATGTTTTTAAAGAAAATCATTAAGATAGAACAATTTGAATATTGTAATGACGTTCTAGGGTGGGTTTTAATTTATAAATATACTATTCAAAAAAAGTAGGGGATATTTGATTTTTAAGTGTTATTAAAGTCACCTAATGAAACTGACGAAGAAACAAATGACAAAATGAAATGAAGTTCACATTCATCGATTTATTCCAAATGATCGTTAGACTAAGTAAGGCACAGACTGACCATTATAAGGGTAAAATGATACCCGGGGTCAAACAGCAAAGTTACCACAGCATCACAACCAAGTCAGTAACGGGTAAATCCTCCTTTGTTTGCCAAACAAGCATTGATCCGACGTGGCATACTCCTAATGAGACGTCTAAGGTCATTTTGGTCCAGATTGTCCCATTCCTGTTGCAACGCAGCAGCAAGTTCTTGGACATTGGCAGGACGTTGTTGACGTTGACGTAACCTCTGTCCAAGCATGTCACAGACATGCTCGATGGGGGGAGAGGTCGGGACTCAGTGCTGGCCAAGGTAAAGTGGTGATGTTCTGTTGTTGGAGGTAACCTGTAACGATCCTGGCCCTGTGACATCTTGCGTTGTCATCCTGGAAGATGAAACGGCGGCCATGACGTCGTGCGAACGGCACAACATGGACTGCCAAGATGTTGTCCCGGTAGTACTGGCCTGTAACACGCCCTGCAACAACATGTAAAGCCGTTCTTCCAGCAACAGTGATGCCTCCCCACACCATAACAGAACCACCCCCAAATCGATCATGTCTGATGACGTTAACGTCTTGGAAGCGCTCGTTTCGACGACGCCACACCCTCCTACGTCTGTCCAAAAAATCAACAGTGAACCTTGACTCATCTGAAAACATCACATTGCTCCAGCGTCGATTATCCCAGTGTTGACGATCCCTACACCAACGACGTCTTGCCTGAATGTGATGATCTCTCAAACAAGGGATCACGCGAGGACGTCGGGCGCGAAGGTGACCCCTATGCAGTCGATTCCGAATCGTCTGGCCACTCACTCTCACACCAGTGTCTGTTTGAAGACCAGTGCTGATCTCATTTGCTGTGATGGCACGATTTCTCAAGGCCAAGGTACGGATAAATCGATCATGGGCTTGAGTTGTCGCCCTTGGTCGACCTGAGCGTGGTCTGTCCTGTACAGATTGTGTATCACGGTATCTGGACCATAGCCTGCTTATGACAGACTGAGAAACATTCATCGTCCGCGCCACAACCGCCTGTGTTGTGCCGATCTGTAGCATGCCAAGGGCACGTAACGTTTCATTTTGGGTAAGCCGACGCATATCAAAATTTGTTTTCTGGTCACTAAAACAATTAAACTGATGTTTCCACCCTGGAATTCAATGCCACAATGACTGTAACATTCAAAGTCAGAGTCGTGCAAATCTTGGGTTGGACCCCCATGATGATCCCAAGCATCACCTGCATTCCATGCGGTAGCTATTGGTGCGTTTGGGCGTCACATGTAACTGGAAATGTTTCTTCTGTTAGGTTCTATAGTGACTTTTTTCGTAGTCATTTGCATATTTTAGTATTATGCCCCCAAAATCAAATATCCCCTACTTTTTTTGAATAGTATAGTAGTGGATGCACAGGGACATACCATTTCTACTGTAAATAAATTGGAAAAAATTGGGAAAACTTGGAATTTTTTGTTCTTTGCCAGACAAAAGTAGTTTTTAACTTTGACGGGGTTATTTAACAATGCAGCTTTTGTGTAATAAACCTTCTTTATGCCAATAAAATGCAGATCTATATTTCGTTTCGTTTTTTATATTTCATGAAGATCTGACAAGTTGTCGTGTCAGGGGTCGTACTAGCGGCTTTTGACCCTATGCCATCAGACATTGATTATTCAATCAGCGTTGGTACCGTGGCATGGTACCGTGCATGGCACGCCAAGAAGTCGCCGTAACCGACTTTTTCATTGACTTATCCCTCACTTTAACTAAAACGCCGGTAATACAACTCTTCCAGATCCTAGTGTAGTAAAGACAGGTAAAACGAAATTTTAAACTATAAAAACAGAAACGAAATAGGATCTGTGTTTTAATCAGATTGACAGAAAACAGTAATCTCAAAAATGAAAATTACTATTACTCAAAACGACGTGAGCGTTATTCGAATAATATAATGTGAAAACTCCAATCATTGGAGTTATTTTTAAATCTAGAAAATGTTGTGGTTGGTTATAACGCAATGTAAAGAAACATTTTGAGAGCCACGGTGGCTTGGTGAGTATGGTGTTGGCTCGCTAAGAAGAGATCATGGTTTGTTCACTATGTTGGCCGAGGAAGTTCTTCGGAATTTTCCGGCGTGGTTTCTCCTTGTCAACGGTGCATGGATTTGCGTCTATATAAGTCATTCGGGTTGGACGAAACAAACCGAGGTCACGTGTACACATTGTCATGCACGTAAAAGAACCATTGATATTTGGAATTCGAAAAAAGACGAAGCGTAGCACCGCTGTCCCGAAAACATTGCCCCCTATAGCACACTGCATGGCGTATGCCTGTCTACAATAGGCCATTTAGTGCAGATACTCAGAACGCTAATCCCCATTCCATTTCAACACCTGCTCCAAGAAACTAAATGTTATTTAAGTCATCGATGCGCAATTGTCAAACAAACAAGAATGCTAATTGTCATAGCGACCATACTCGAATTGGCGGATCCAAGGGTATATTTTAACACCATCGCTCCTAGAACAACAACAATGAACAAGCAAACAAATAAATGAGCTATTTAAACTCTCAAAAAAAATTAGCAAACCTGTTTCAATCTTTGCCTGCCATCAAATTTAAAAACCCTCAATGCAACTGAATATTATAATCCAGACAAATCGAAAGATACCTTGTGTCCAATGATCTGCAAAGTGTTAAATTATACAACAAAGCTGGGTTAGTTATTTGATCTCGTCAAATAAGAATTGCGTGTTTCATCGTTTCTCTCATAACTATAGATTGACGAACCCGTTTCAAATTTTGCATGTGATCTAATTTTTAAACCACCCTATGCAACAGTTTATTATAACCCCGACAAATCAAAATGTTTTTTTAATTCTAATGCGGAGACCCCCAAAGCGTTAATTCCTATCTCTAAATACCTGCTGTGTTTGCTGCTATATGTTTGGAACCCCTCGTTTGTCAACGTAGCATGCAATTTTCTTGTAATTCTAGCCAAAGTATAGACTGGACACATATCAGATAGAGGCACAATTCATCTTTCTAAGATGACCAGTAGTTATGTATAGTTTGTCTGGGACTTAGACGAGCAATTAACAAGAACACAGTCACTAGTCATGAAACCTTTGTACTCAACTCAAATACCGTGACGTCCAAGATAGTGTAGGTAGGTTATGATCGTGTCTTTAGCAGTGGGTGGAAACCGGAGGATCCGGAGAAAACCCGGCGACCCTACCCCTTGTCACGTACAACCGGGGAATCGAAACCCCGCCAGTTGACTCAATGGCAGACCGCATGATACAGCGCACACGTGCTAACCATTCGGCCATCCCCCAGGTATTTTAGAAGTCGAAGCTTCATGGTTTAAGATAACAAAGAGTCCACCAACAGAGTTACAGTATCTGTGGATTAAATACAAATATAGAAACAAAAATATGTGAACTGTCAAACAGAGAAATGGTATCAGATGTTCTTTCTGGCATATATTACGTCAAACCAGGTGTGAAAATACCCAGGCTAAAATTACCGCAATTATAAATAGCACAAAATAATGTGTTATGTCCCGTAGCCTAGCTATGGTATCACAATCACCTCGACAAATTATGTTCAAATATATTTTATTGAGGTACGTATAGAAAACGTCGGTCAATATTTGAGTACTAAGTTTTTATTTTGGTTTAAGAAACATTTGTGGCCCTAGGCACTGAATATTAATTTGTTTTGGAGCCGTGTATTGTATAGACATAAAAACAAATTGGAAATACTGCGGCGGTTCCCATTCATAAGATGAGTTATAAGTGAAAGTGGGCCAATGGTGTTTCTTTTTGAGA